CACACCTGATGTCATATATCATGTGGGTTTTGACAAATGTATTCATAAATATAGTATCATACAGAGTAGTCTCATGACCCTAAAGATTCCCTAAACACCTATTTATCTGGTTATTCCATCTACCTACCAAGACATAATAAGCTTTTTAAATGCTCCTAGTAGAGCTACTCTTTTCTTTTTAATCCCCTACTTTACTTGCTATGAATATTACCAATGATAACATTTTTTCTCTAATGATTTCTACAATCTTTACAGAATATTCAAGATATCTTTATATTATGTCCATATACCATCTCTATTGCCATCTTACTTCTTATCAAAATCCATTCATCAAGTAGAAAATATCCTAAAAGGGGATCTGTTGTACATGAGGAGGGTAGGCCATTAAAATAGCAAGGGGATTCAGAGGCCCAGTGTTGGCAATGTCATTGAAAGTCACGCAGGTCTGCTAGGCCTCAGGGAAAAAGAGACACAAGTGAAATTTAAAATGGCAGAATTTGGAATGATTTGTATTCTTTCAACCACAAAAAATGAGAGCACAGAAGAGCAAAGCACAAATTGATCAGAGAATCAAGGTCTGTTTTTCAACATTCATATTTCCAGATGGTCTGGCAAAAGGAATCCTACCTCACCAAAGTAAAATTATGATGAAAAAAATAGATAAGTAAATGAACACAACTCATTATAATTTGAAGCAAGATTGCAGGTGATCTAGTGAGACTTTGTTGTTGAGAATGATCTGAGAAAAAATATAGAAGAAAATTATGCCTCAAAGAGGAATATAGAGAGTTTCCCTGGTGTGAATATTCTGCAACAATGCATAAGATTCTAATAAGATTACTGACATTTAGAAATTTGAAGAAAGGAGCTAAAGGTGTAGGGAAGGTGTGATGCGTAGGGGAAGAACAAAAAGGGAAAAGAAAAAAATGTGAGAGAATGAAAAGATGAAAATAAAGTGTTTGTAGATGGGGAGGGGAGGAGGGGGTGAAGGGAGGGCAGAGGTAAGGGGGAAAAAAGAGAATCAAGACTTGCCACGTAGAGGTACATCATCCCAACAATGAATGTAACTGTACTGTATCCCTAAAATGTACCAATAAACTCAATAAAATTTAAAAAAAAAGAGGAATATAGAGAAGACTTGAGTTTGTATGTTAAAGATAGCTTCTACAGTCACTATTACTTTTGATTTGGCTAGAATAAGTACATGTAGTGTACACAGTCACACTTTTTGTCTACTGTTCCAACTGATGAGAAAATCCTGAAAAGCGGGCAGGACTGAGAGTTGACCAAAGCATGTGTCACTAATCCCCCAGAAATACAGGCTGTCTGTGGTTTGGACTGCTGTACCTACCCTTATCATTCCCTGAGTTTTCCATCTATTCATAAGCGAGACAATAATAGTTGAAACACATTAAATATATCTTGAGAGCTTAAATGGGGTCTAACTGTGGTAGCCCAGTTAAGAGTCCAGTTTGACAAAGTCTTTAAAATCAATGTGACATAAAAACTAGAAAACCTAAATGAGCATCTCTTTATCATGACACATTTTACATTAATTGTAGTTTCATAAATTTTATGTTCAAGGCTACCTGAGAAAGTCATTTATTAATATAAAAATATTCCCATGCATCTTACTTTGCCATGTTATAAAATTGCTCTTCAATATATGTTATATTTGGCCAGGGATTTAGCTCAGCGGTTTGGTGGCCTGCCTTGCAAGCCCAAGGACCCGAGTTCAATCCCCGGTACCAAAAAAACAAAAACAAAAACAAAATGTTATATTTGCTAACATTAACACCAGCTAGAGTTGATAGTAATAGCATATGTCAGTTCAATTATCTAGTGTGGAGAAAGAAAATAAGATAGGCAATATTCACTGAAGTTTGGTTCCGTCTCTGACTGCTGTGTTGAAACTGCTTTCATAATTATTTAAACTGACGTATACTGTTGTGTCCTTATCTCACTTAACCTTGTCGGTTATTTTTTCTTTAATTTGATGCTATCACTTCTTCCTTCTAAAACTCTTAAATCTTTTAGTTTTCAAAAGAATGGCTGCTATCAAGAAATCAACCAATAGCAAATGTTGTCAGGATTGTGGGGAGAAAGGAACCCTGCACTGTTGGTGGGGTGCAGACTGGTGCAACCACTGTGGAAATCAATATGGAGATACCTCAAAGAACTAGAATTAGAGATTCCATTTGACCCAGTTGTCCCTCTACTGGGTATCTTTCCAAAGGAAAATAATCATATCACAGTGATATAGGAGCATCCATGTTTATAGCGGCACAGTTTGTAATAGCTAAAACTTGGAAACAGCCCAAATGCCCATCATTTGGAGACTGGATAATGAAGATGTGTTTTTTCTATAGATGGAGTACTCAGCCATAAAGAATGAGAAACTAGAGTCATTCATAGGAAAATAGATACATATTGAGGCCATACTCAAGTGAAATAAATAAGACACACACATGTAAATACCAAATAGTTTCTCTGTTGTGAAAAACTAAAAGTGCTAATAAGATCCAAATTGTATAATTGACAATGTGAACTAGGAAGAAAAGGGCTAAAGATGTAGGGGGAGTGGGAAGGGTAGAGGAAAGGAAATAAGGAAAAAGAAAAATATGAGAAAAGGAAAAAATGGAAACAAATTCTTTGTAAATAGGAGAGGGTGGAGGAGGTGAAGGGAGACAGGGGTATGGGGAGAAAATGAGAACCAAGACCTGTCATGTAAAGGTACAAGTTCCAAATGATAAATGTAACTATACTGTACACCTAAAAAGTACCAATAAACTCAATGAGGAAAAAAAACAATATCCTCCAGTCTGATTAGTTATGTGTGAAAATTCACATTCATTTCCTTCACTGAAACTTCTTTCTAAGCCAAGTCTGTACATCACTATTACTACAATATATTATAACTAAAAATTTCTGCCACAAATTAAAGCTATGTCCACATTCAATGATGGTATTCTTTGCTGCTATTAAATTTTCTAATTATGAATTTCTTATTAAAAACTAAATTCAAAATAAGAATTCCTATAACCTGGATATCTTTGCCGAATTACAATATTTCATACATCACTGAAAATATTACATGGATTTTTGTGTAAACTTTGAAGATTATATATTTCAAGGACTTAATTCTAAAAACATAGAGGAAAAAGAATTACTCCTAACTGGAATTTCTCCTAACACTGAAAACGTCCTCACAGTTGTTAAGTGAAGAACACAGATACAAAGGCAGTAGAGTAAGCTCATGTTCTATTCCTGATGGTAGAACTTCAGATAATCATCCAGAAAATAACCAGTAAATAAATACACCAGAGGCAACAAAATACTCTGTATACAGCATTCTATCAGCTGGAAATCCTTGCTTCTTTAAAAAGTACCTCTGTATTTTAAGACACAATGACTGCTCATTTTCAAATGATGACACTAAGGCCCACAGGATGCTATATCATGGAGATTTAATAACTTTTATAACATTAAAAATGTGTTTTAGATAGTATATTCAAACACTATATGTAGAAATTCTATATAAACTGCAATAGTCAATTAAGTAATAAAAAATTTTATTCCTATAATTATTAAACTCCACAAGATCAGAAAACATTCTTACAATTTTAAACATTTAAAACTAGAGAACAATCACTACAACTGCAGCAAATGTACTATGAATCAATAGCTAAGGTTTCCATTTAAAATGCTATCTCAAAAATTAGAAAGCACAAAGTATTTCAGCTCAGAAAATTGCTGCAGTTCTTACTCCCATTTCTGCCTATAATTGACAAAACTCCCTACTTACAAAAAATCACTTGGAACGTAACTTTTCATCTCCTCATATCACAAGACGCTATGATGGCTTGACACTTAGGTCGATAAGAATACATTTCCCCAAGATGCAGAATTTATAATAAAACTGCTTTCATTGTAGGGTAAGTTAAAATTCAGAATTTTAAATGACTGTAATCTCCTTTCTTAAAAGTGAGTAGCCTAAACGCTACATCTTTTAGCTCTAAGTGAAATGAAATGTAGTCTGTTCTTCAGGAATGGCCCATTGTCTCGCAGATGCTCTCTCATCACACCTCACATCACACACTGCTTATAGACAAGGATCTTGTTCTATTGATCCTGACATACCTATCACTAGCATAATGCCTGGCAGGCAGAATAGCATTCTTTCACAGAAACAAAGCATTCATCTAAGTAGTTGTTTGATAAATATTATAATTTTTTAAGGTCACAGTTGTGTCACATCTAAGGATATCAAGACAAAAAGATTTTTTTTTTATCTTGTGGTCTCTGTCAGATCATGAAAATACACTGTGATTGGGCTATCACAGGGGCAAGCAGGACAAATTCAGAAAGGGGAAAAAAAAAGAATATCTGCCTTTTCTTGAGAGAATGTTTGAAGAGAACCTTAAAGGAAAAGCAGGTATTCAAAGACCCAATTAGGAAGGGATGAGCTCCTAGCAGATGCATCATATGCAGTACAGATGGAGGAAGGGGAGAGAGCCCAGTACCATCAGGGAAGAAGGTAAACTGTATAATGGCTGGCAAACAGGAGTGGGGCTGAGGAATTAATTAATCAGCATTGTAGAAGTTGGTCTTGCAATTACCAAAGCCAGAATCAAGGACACCAGTCAGAGAGATGATAAAATGTCTTTCAAGGGGAATACAATACATTGAATATATATTATAGGCTTCATATACAATAAGACTGGAAAGGGTCTCAAGCAATGTACTAATATTTTCATCTATTATTTAATTCTTTTCCAATTTCCTACATATCTTTTATGTCCTCATTACACAAGTGAGAAACATTAAGAAATGTGTTCAAGATTCTACAACTATAAATAACACAACTAGATCACAAAGTGAAGTCTGTAATAGTGACTCTTGTAACAAGCACAGTATTAAAACAGTAAAACCTATGCATATGGCAAAGTGAGCATCTTGCTCATTGTTACATCATCTGCCTGAATCACTAAATACTGGCTGGATGTTGGGGAATTAATGTATCACTGAAGACAATAGAAAACAGCAAGAGGAGATAGTCAACAGTTATCAAATACCACAAGAGGTCAAATAAGACAAGAACAGAAAACTGCCTACTGTATTTGTCAGGTCTGTGGGGACTTTTGACAGCAGTTTCAGTGGAGGGGTGAGAACAGAAGACTGAGCGCGATGGGGTGAGTAGTATGTAGCAGATGAAGAAGTAAAAATATCTCCTTTCAGTCTAATAAAAATGTTATTTAATAGCTAAAATTATTTATAAAATATTATTCCAGTAAATTATTTATATTATATGAAATTATTTATAAAATATTATTCCAGTAAATTATTTATATTATATGAAATTATTTATAAAATATCATTCCAGTAAAGAAATGACACAAAATAGTTTTTGCCTCCCAGAGAAGATTTAAGGTATATGTTATACATCTGAATAATAACAAAGGACTCCAACTGCTGAAATTATACGAATAAGGGAAATTGATTTGAATCTGATTTATCAAGATAGTCTCCTTTTAATATTTGCTGGGGTAAGCAAAACCCTTTATATTATAGGTCAATAAGTCAAAGTATTGAGATAATAGGTTAAAAAGAAGGCTCCTATCACTTTCAATCGATAAAGGTAAAGCTAATATTTGCTATTTTTGGAAGCATATTATTCTCCCCCTATTACTAAATTAGAGACATTTGCATCCTATGACATAGTCAAATACTTATTATAAAATGTAGGTTAACTCAATTGTTATTAAATTTTTTAAGTTCTATTATATCTTATAGATAAGAGATATATTCACATCTTAAAAATACGTTAAAAGGTTTTAATATCTTTGAGCTGACAAATAATTTTCCAAGTATTAAAAGGGGAAAACTAAAATATTTAAGATTAATTCTCAAGTACACAAAAATGCATATTACATGCATCAAGAAAAAATTTATTTGTGATGATTAAGTTTACAGTTTGTAATTTTGAAACTGTCATTACATACATTAAAATACACATAAGATATTAATTTTAATAATGAGAAATGTACCATAGTGTGAAGAAACTTTATCTGACTACACTGGAATAAGTTTTGTCACCTACAACTAAACAATGGAGCATAATCGGTATATTTCAGTACTACCAGTTGGTACTTCTTTTCAAATCACAAAGCACACTTCTGTACCTTTCACATGAAATAACATATAGTTCCTTGTAGTAGATAAGTGTCTGTGATCCTTCAGTTGACTATGAACAAAAAGGGAGAACAATTCATAAAAGTACAACTTCTAAATGTAGCATGGTGTAGAATGAGATAAAGAAGCAAGGGGAGGAAAGACTATAACTAAATTTATTATAGAAAGAATTCCCCCTAACTTAGAAAATCCTGAATCTACAAATCTAAATATCCTCAAATGGCAAGAGTTTCAATCAGGCTTCCCACACACACACACACACACACACACACACACCCTAGGAATATATGGTTAAATTCCTGAAAAAGCACAAACACAAATACTAGAAGATAGGTAAAAGTAGAAAAATACAGGTACAACCAAAATCTAAGAGTTCATTAGCCAGCTAAAATATCTAGCAAAGATTCAGAAACTATATTACATCAGCGAAACTCCTGAGAGAAATAACTGAGACAACACTAAAATTTAACAAGAGATGAATCAGAATAGAGGAATCAAGATAAGTGAAGATGTCAACAAGATCAAACAGCAAAACTAATAGAAAGCAAAATTATGCAAAAAATAGTTATTATAAACCAGGATGGAAAAAACAAAACCATGTAAATCATGTAATACAGGAAAAATAAGCAAATAAATTATCTCGTTGTGTGATGAAAACTCATTCTCTCTGATGAATTGTACTTATAGAAGGTGATTAAAAATAAATGACTGAAAAGAAATTAGCAGACAATTCTATAAATTAGTAGACAAAAAAAATGTAGGAAACTTCAAGAAAAAGGAGGAAGGGAAAAGCAATAATAATGTGCACAAGGTTGCATTAAGAGAAGTGCTGAACTGTATAGAAACATTATACAACAAAAACATAATCTACAAAGAAGATGTAAAAGACATAAAAGGAGTAACACTGCACCTCAGCATATAAAGCAAAAACAGCTAGCAATTCATTGCAAATGGGTATGGGATTTCTTGTTGAAGTAGTACTATGAGTATCTGATGAATCTTACACTGTAAATGAGTGAATATAATGGTATGTGAATTATATTTCAATAAAGCAGTTATACATTCTTAAAATTAAGAGTGAATAAAACCCTCCAATTACAATTAAAGTGGGAAACTTTATTACCTCTCTCAGAATCATATTACTCAGCCAGATACAAAAGCAAAGGTTCAGAGATATTAAATAAAAAGACATACAAAACAATGAGAATTTTAAAAGCCTTAATAAAAATAAAAATTTAGTGAAAAACATTAAAATGCCTGCATCAGAACCATAAAGATACAAAGCAAAGTCATAGAGAAATTAAATATTAACAATCCCCAAAAAGCTAAAACATATGGTCAGAAAAAATGAAATTACAAGAAACAGAATTTAAAAACAAAAGGAACAAACTCAAAAGCACATATAGTACACATGTACATACAGTATTTATTGCACTTTACAAACAAATCACAAAGTCTACTCAAATACTTAGTTACAAAAATTCTAATTTGTAGTATCAATTAAAGAAATAAACATTTTAAATAACAAAAAAAAAGGTGATAAGACAATCTGCTTGAAAGTTAGGTAAGAAAATCCCTTGGACCAAGGAGAAAATCAAAATTGAAATTATAACTTCAAAAAATCAATGAAAAAAACTCTATATCATACAAAATCCTACAAAGCATAACAAAAACTGTACTCAAAGAAAAATGTGTATGTAAATGTTTTCAGTAACAAAAATAAATAAGAAAAAAACAAAAAAATTTTTGAATTAAGAAAATTAGGGCAACTGTAAGAAATTAAGAAAATGATGGCAAGTGTAAGAAAAATTAAAAGCCAGGAAGTGCTAATAGATAAAAACTAAGCAAGAAAAATATGAATATAGAATGAGAAAAAAAGACATGAGTATGCACTGAGAAGAGAGACGTATACGCTTGTAACCCCAGATACTCAGAAGACTGAAGCTGGAGGACCTAAAATTGGGGGCAAAGCAGGGACAACTTACACAGTCTCAAAAAAGGCGTGGAGGTATGATGGTGCAAACCTGTCACCCCAGCTCCATGAGAGCGGCGGTAAGAGGGGGAGATGGAGGGGCTGAAGAGGGGAGAGAAATAAAAGAACCATGAAACTTTATGTAATTGAGTGTTTAAACACACTGCGTATGGATAATTGGAAAAATATAAGTGACCAGAATTGATCGAAAAAGAAATGAACAGTCTGAGTTCTGGCTAGCCTTGAAGAAAAAATGAAAAATTATAAAGTTATTTCAATATTTTCAGGCCATGGGAGGAATTTCAAACTACTCAATTCTTTTTTATTATCTATCTAAAATTTTCAACGTTCAATATAGTATACTAAAACAAATTTCTCTTATGAGTATTTTCTACAATTGTAGCAGATAGAATCTAGCAACTTATACAGTAATAATACATTATGTCCAAATAATACTTACATAGAAATATAAAAACAATTTAACAGTATAAATCTATCAACATAAATTATTACATTCATAAAATTAAATAAGAAAATAAAAAGCTATCCAAAGATTCTGAAAAATCTGATTCAACTGACAATCTTAATAAAAATTTTGAATAAAATATTAATATAAAGAAACTACTCGAATACAATAAAAGCTGTTTCCCAAAAGCAGAAGCAAAGCTTATTCTAAATAGTGACAGATAAAAAACATTTCAACTAAAATCAGATTTAACAATTGTGCTTGATGTTCCCTTTGCCGTTCAATATTATCTTTGATATTATAACAAAAGCTGTTAGATATGATAAAAAAAATAATTAGTATACAAGTTGAAAGGAAGAGTAAAGTGATATCTTTTTGTGGAAATAAATATGTGTATATGAGATTTTTTAATATTATAAAATATTATTTAATTAAATGGGAAATAATTGCTTATTTAAAAGATGGCACTAGTTATCTGAAAAAATAATAAACTTAAATTTCATATTATACCTAGAATCAAATCCTGATCAAGTAAAAATTTTAAATGCAAAAGACAAATACATATTTTAAAATAAAATCTAATAACTGTATGCATGCCTTAACTAAAGTAGGCAAACAGAAAAAAAAGACAAAAACATATTTGATTTGTACTGTATAAAGCTAAGATAAAACTGTCAGAACAATGAACCGAATATTATTTTATTTTCATTAATACACAAATGTGTGTTCTACGGATGTGCAGGATGCACATCCCCTGATTATTACTACTTTGCTTTAGGTTACCATGGTCAGGTATTTCATTCCTGATTTTCTGTTTTCTCCAATCTCTCTCCAATCTATTCTCCACACATCCTTTCTAAATCACAAATCTTATTATCATTTCTATGCTTATAGTTGACCATGACTAGTCACTACCTTCAAAATGAACTGGGTACTCAGTAAGGCTTGATCCAGCCTTGACTTTATGCCCCATTCCATCCTTGAATTTCAGTTTCACCCCTTTACACCAGCCACTATGAACCCCGTGGAGTTTCCCGAACAAGCTCAACAATCACTCATTTCTGGACCTCAGTACATGCTAGTTTTGTGTTTTGTTTCTTTCATTTTATTTAACTAGAATTCCCTTCTCCTACCTAACCCACTTAGTTATCTGCTTACCTTCATCTTGCATATTTTTATGTCTAAATTCGTCCAAAATGCTTTCCTTGACACTTTAAGACCAAGACAGATTCCCTGTATGTTTTAGGCTTCCAAAGAATCTTGTGATTACACACAGCATAGCTTTTATCACAGCATAACTCCTGGTTGCCCACTTCTCTAACCAGACCTAACCTCTTTGAACATAAGGGTTATATCCGGCTCACCATTTATTCATTCCTTCATTTAAAAAATACTCTCTGTATCAGTCTCTATACTGAGTACTAGTGATGGACAATTGGTCAAATAGAAATGAGTCTTAGCCTCACTATGTGACAGTTAGAGTAATCCAATAATTGTACACCCAAACCAACAACTGCACAAACAAATATGAATAACAATGGGGAATATTATGTAAGGTGCTGAATTACACAAGAGCACATGACTGGGTCAAAGAACACTTCCTTTAAGAAGTGACATATCTAAAGGATGAAGATGAGTTAACCAGGCAGCCAAGAGGCAGATAGGGAAGGAAAGAAAACACTCCTTGCTAAAAAAAAAATACACACACACACACACACACACACACACACACACACACACACAAGTCCTGGAAGAGAAACTGACAGGGAACTTGTAAGAAACTAAATGAAGGCTGCTATTGTAATCTTTATCCATGGTACAATGTCTGGTCTGTAAAGAATTATCTGAATAAATAGAAAAAAAATAAGTAATAAATGAGTGACTACAGCTGTGTATGACTGACCATGTGTCCACGAATATGTGTTATATATGAAGCATATACATGCATGTCTGTTACTCTCATACATGTGTGTATACGTATTTGTGTCATTTTCATTACTGCTTTTCATAACCTTCGATGCTCTCAAACAAGCCTGTTTTAGTCAATGTTGACCAAATTATGCCAAATAACTGATTTGGTAGGATTGAATGTTTATTGTTTGATATGTCCTTGTTCCTTTGCCAACAAATCATCACAGGTGTTGATTACTAAGAAATGGACAGATTCAGGAAAGCACATGTAAGATCAGACAGCTTTATGGGGGCTCTGTGTTATGCTTGCTAGCTGAATGACAAAGAGTTCATCCCATTCCTCAGTCTTCCTTTCCTAGCACCCTAGAATGTCGCTGGAAGAGACACCAAGCCAAAAGCCTAGCAGTAGAGGCAAGAACTCAAACACCCAAGATAATTACAAAGATGTGCTGCAGGAGAACCTGCTTAAACTCTGTACCCACCCTTAGACCTGCAATCTGCCACATTGTGAAAATATGGCCGAGGTTCACAGGATTTGTAGGGAGCTACAGATAAGCACCCTATCATCGCCCACACACACTTTTACCAGTCTTAGCTACTGGTAGAAAAGGTGGGGGTGGGGATTTCCTTGTAAACACAAATTCTGGCTTCTGCTGGTGATGACTAGCCTTTGCAAATTGGAAGCCACAGTGGTGGCAGCAAGAGAGCATAATTTCCACATGGATGGATCCTTAGAGGGCTTACTTAGAGCTGTTAATCACTGTTAATGCCTCTTTGATTATTATGCTTTTCAAAATTGCTAAATTGTGAACTCTCCTTTGCCCATCAGTGGCTCCAAACAAGTCTTGGGAGCTATACTGCTTTCAAGTTTGTACAAAGAAGATTAACATTTACAACAAAAGTTGTGCTGTACTAAAAAATAAAATTTATGATAATCTGAATTTTTTTACAATTTTCCTAATTGAATTGGGTAATAAATACTTAGCCAAGCTCCTAAAATATTTCATTAGCCAAATGGCACTAGGTTTTAAGCATGATAGAAATGAGCATACTGTATCATCATGATTGCTTGATAAAGCTATGACAGTAGCATCTGACACAATTTTTTCAGCTTTCCCAAACCAGCAATTCTAATACTTGTATACCTTTGGAGGATGACAGCATGTCGTTATGTATATACCGGCTTAAAAGATAATTTGCGCATGCACTGCTTCGCATCATATCAACGATGAAGCCATCAAGTACACTGGGATGTCACAGGTAACCCAATCTAACCCCCTAAAAGGCAGCATTTCTTCCACTACTAAATATTATCCTTCCTCTACTAAATATTACCAGTCACAAACATCTCATGAAGTCTGCTCCTCCAACCCTGAGTATTTCTACAAGTTACAAAGCTTTGTTCCATTTTCCATTTAAAATGTTCCTATAATTTTAATCTGCAAGGTATGCTCGGTAGTGATTTAAACCAACGTACATCCTCTCTTCACAGAAGTCCTCCAAAGTACCTAAGAAGAGCTCTCATATTCTCCTTGTCTTCTCATCTTATATCTTCAAAGAACTGATTCAAAATGCATTAAAGGCAACACTAAAGAACTGCTTAAAATAGAGCAAAGGTGCATCAGGAAAGACACCATTTGTGTGATGTGGAAGGCCACTATAAACTATGCTTTGAAAACAAACAAGAAAGCAGTAGAGATACAGAAAATCTATTTCAGATAAGAGAGGAGCTATCATGAGAAGCTCTGTGCCAGGGTTACAATCTTTTGTGCATACATGCTTTAACTTGGTAAAATAGATGTCTATTTATTCCTCACTAGACTGTATACTTCAAACTGTTTTCCAGCATTCACGTTGGTTTCTTTGCCCCATGTCATCCATATTTTTCATGTCCAAATCCCTTTTGAGTGTGCATACAAAATATGCTGCCCTGGGAAAGGAAGCAATTTCTGACTGTGACAATGAGCATGAGTGGCATATGTAGGGCCTAGACCAATAACCAACCACTGCCTCTCTAGCATCCTGGCTAAGGCCACCCTGGGAAAGGTTAAAGTCAGCACTCCAAGCACAGCAACTATTCGTACTTGTTACAATCTCAAAGCAAATCTGACAAAACACTGAGCTGTGTTTGTCATTACCCTATCCGGTCTAATTCCACAAAGAGAACACATGAAAAAGTCTAAGACATGCAAAAGTTGACCCAAAAAAAGGTCATCTTTTAAAACTGGGAGAAGACAATACACAGTCATACCTTGGTATTCTGCTGCTTTAAAACGTTGAATTTGGTACCTCAAGCATTTCATGGGAAAATGTTGTTCCAGTACTCATCATTTGTTACACACTGGACAGGCAAGCTAGAAAGAACTTCGTGTCACTTGCTAATGACTCACTACCTTTTCCAGTCAAAACAATTTTTTGGTACTCATTATTTTTGAGTATCTCATCATTCGTGGCATATCCTGGAACATTAATGATGACTACCAGCTACCATGATATACCTGAATGCCTCGATTATTATAAAAACTGTAATCTGTTTGCTTATATTATTTGGTGAAAGGTTTGTTTAAATTCTTCCACTCTTTCAACAGTTTTTTTTTCTGTGTGCTTTTCCCATTTTTATACATACTCACACATATTTTACAGCACTGGTTGAATAACACTCATAATGTACACAAACACTGCATTTTTCTTTCTGTGTATTATTGTATCTAATGGATTCTTTGTTTGTAGCTGTCATCTCTCAGCTGAGCTCTGACTCTGCAGTTGCCTGAAGTTGAGCAGAGTTGCCTGGATCAACTATGGCCTCCCTTCAGCATCCTGTATCTAAAGACAAGGGAGGTATTTGGGAGGTAGAGGGTTGTAGTACAAAGGCTCCACTTTCTTGATTTGGGCACAATATGAAAAGATCAGCCAAAACTTCTGCTGTGATAGCATCAGCATATCAATTTAACTTCTCCTATCAACTCATCTACTTTTTCAAATCCTCACAAGGAAACAGTCTGGGGAAGCCACTCAGGTACAAACATTCTACTTTTCATGAAAAAAAAAAGGATAACAGTGGAGCTGAGAGGCACAAAGGATTGTTTTCATGCTTTGAAGCCTAATAAGATTTACCTGCTTGGATCAGTGATCTTGAGTGCAAATTCCCCACCCCAGTTATAGCATCATAAACATTTTCTCATGCTATAGCATAATTTTTCATGTTTCTCATTTAAATAGCTAACATTCTCTAAAGCAGAGTTGTCATGTTTTAACTGACTCCCTATCTTTTGACTATTTGTTATTACCAATATTTTGTCAGCATAAAGAACAATTAGAGCCAGGCATGGTGACACACACCTGTAATCCCAGCACTTGGCTGAGACATGAGGATTGTGAGTTTGAGGTCTGCTTGCACTACATAGAAAGTCTTTGACAAAAAAAAAATAGGAAGGAAGGAAGGAGAGAAAAAATAATAAACCTCATAAAGTTATTATTTGATGGTTCTTTCTGTTTTGAACTATTCTAAAAGATTATCAGGTAAAATTATTATTAAGAAAAAGATATAAAGGTATCTTTATATATACCAATATGAAGATATACCACCAGGATTACTAAGGAATTTGGGCAGATTCTTTTCTGTATTATTGTGTCTTTGGCGCAAGTGTCAAAACACAATGCAATGTTTGAACAGTCCAAAGAAAAGTAGAAAGCAAAGTGTTATATAATTAACTTAGGCAATGTTCTGCTATACTTGTCTAGGTGAGTCCATTCATGCATAGTGCCAGAACCCAGACTATAATTCTTGAAAATATTTATAGAATGAATAAGTGAGTATTCAAATTGTTTTAGATTTTCACTTAAAGTCAAAGAGGTGCCTTCATGAAGAAATGTAAAGCAGATAGATAATGTAAAATATGTAGACTGGATACTGATAAGCCCTTGGCTTTAACTTCTTAAATTATACTCCTGGCTGGGGATTTAGCTCAGCAGTTTGGTGGCCTGCCTTGCAGACGCAAGGACCCGACTTCAATCCCCAGTACCGAAAAAAAAAAAAAGAAGTTAAAAGAAGTGTTTAAAAATATAGCTTATCAAAAACAAAAATTGGGCCAGGGATTTAGCTCAGCAGTTCGGTGGCCTGCCTTGCAAGCGCAAGGACCAGAGTTCAATCCCCGGTACCAAAAATAATAATAATAATAATAATAATAAACTATACTCCTTCCAAGCCACCAGTGATTGTGGTGGTGACAGTAATAAAACACAATTGGGTATGTGTTATATCGTTTTCCATTCAGATCTTAGCACCAAAGAGACTAAAAAAGAGTTGAGGGACACATTAAAGTATTAGCCAACAAAAGCAAAGTCAACCAAAAATAATAAGCCAAGATTATGATTATCTTACCAGGACACATGCCATAATTTCATAGAAAGGAGTATCAGAGACCAGAAGATATTAAGGTAAATCTAAACTCTTAAATTTGGGGGCTAGTAAGGAAAGAATATAAATTGGAGTTGTTATACCTTGTAAAATGCAATGGAAGATCCTATCAATACAACATAAAAATCATTTTCTGTTGTCATTTCTCACAATATCCCATAAGAATGATCTCTCAAATCAAACTAATCTATTTAATACCTCATGTTTACCCATTGGTCATTCTAGCCTGTGTCTTATCACTTATATTCCTGCACTTGGAATGCCAAAAGGAAAGTCAAAATCAGAAGAGACAGAGAAAAGCACTCTACTCCTGAGAGAGGGAAAGTAGGGAAAACATATGTCATGTAGAAGGGGCTAGAGATGCTTCATATGCACAAGGCCTGGGGTTTGATTCCCAGCATCACACACACACAAAAATATATAAATATATATAGATAGATAGATCTATCTATATATATTTCTCATAGGAAATAAAAATGTTGAAAACAAAAGCTGAAAAACAAGGAAACAGCACTCACGACATGGTTTATTCTTAAAGGTAGGCTTAGGGATACCTAACCTAAAAGAGATATAAAATAAAAATGTCTAAATTTAGAGCTTTTCCCATAAACTTTCGTCATTCCCACAACACTCTTTAACTCCTAAAGAAAACAAAAGGTTATATGAGAGATCTGTCTTAAGATGTGAAAGCAAACAAAAATGCATTATCTAAAAGGTCAACTGAATCTAGTTCTTGACAGAAAAGAAGATATTACAAAGCTGTAAGATCTTGAATTCACACACAAAGAAAGATGCCACATTCCTTTCAAAAGCGTGTTTAGTATACTAGAAAAAGAGTCACAATTAAAACTAAAAGAGCAAGCTGGCTTTTCTCTTCTTAGCCCATTCTCAGCCTTGACAGAATATTGTTGCTATTTCCTTTCTGGTTTCCAGAGGATGTCAAAGGTCAACATAATTTTGTTTACTATTCCACTCACCATCAAATGGTTGGCCCTAGGTAACCTAGAAGACAAAAAGATATTTGAGACTTTTTTGGGGGGTAGGGGGTGACTGCAGTGATCTTGTTCTGAGTGCAAAGCTCCTAATATTGACAACCTTCTTTTCAAACAATTTGTCTTTAAACTTAAGTTCTGCTGTGCGTAGAACCTTTATTACATTAAAGCTCATTGCTAAAATCTCAACTTCATACTGAGACTACTTAGACAAGCAGAATGAAAACAAAGCCAATTCTACTCACGTTCCTATTTAGTATTAGCAACATTTACTCTGTCCCATAAATCTCATCTATTAGCCCAATGTTGTATTTTTTTTCCTCACTGAGTTTATTGGTACATTTTAGGTATACAGTACAGTTACATTCATTATTGGGATCTTGTACCTTTACATGACAGGTCTTGGTTCTCATTTTTTCCCCTTGTCCCTGCCAATGTTGTATTTATACTGTACTAAAATGAGAGTGAAGACAATGATCTGGGAACACCACTGCTATTTGGGTTTTTGCTTCTTATTCCCAGGATTAGGTACATTACAATGTTTAGTTAAATTTTTTCTTCCCAAAGGACCAAGACTATGAGTCAAGAGAGCATAAAAGTGTGCATGTACAGGGATTAAAGGAATAGGAGAAGAAAGGCCAAAAAACATAGAAGACTTGGGAGGACATTTATCTGTTTCATGTGTCTGTTAAGAGTTCTATGATTGAAATTTCAAGGTAACTCATTTAAATTCAATTATTTCTATATAATAACTTAGATTTGAAAGAATTATCTGAAACAGATATTAGTTTTGAAATTGATACTTCATATGGCTATCCAAAGAAAACGGGAAATGAATGTCCAACCTGTGCTGTGTGTTGTGACCTGTCATTAATGTAAAGATCCAAGTAGTAGTAATTACTTTATCTAATAGGAACAAAAATTTTCATCTTCCTGTAAATGGTTCACTTTACACACCCATGAGCTCAATTTAAACACTAAGTACCTACTTAACATGATGTCCTGCCTCAGATAAAGATTCTGTTTAATTAAACACACTGTTGTATAGAAATGCAGAAACCACTGCTACTAAATATGGAAGCACTTCTATAGTACACTGATATATTATCTAATAACTGATGACAGGCTGTGAAAAGTAATTTACTCTGGTATTTAAAATGTCAAGAAGCAATCAAAAAATCAGAGTCTACAGAGGAAAATGTGTCAATGAATGATGAGACTTTTGAATTCAGGCCAAATATTGAGGAAGTCCAAATTACAATAATATA